TTCATATAGAATATTTTCAAGTCTGTTTTATAGAATATTTCAAGGCCGGAGAAAGAAGAAGAAGAAGTTCTAAACTTTTAACGTGATTTCTTACGTTCCCAAGTATTATATCGTCCATAATATAAGCAAATGTAAAGCATTTCCTCTTCTTATGTATATATATATATATATATATATATATATATTTAATATAATTTATTTTTATATATATATATTTAATATAATTTATTTTTATATATTATATAATTATATTTTTGTTATATTTAATAATTAAAGTTTACATTAATATTAATAAATACGTATATGCGTCTATAGTCCCTTTTGGTAATTTTTACGAAACGCATATATGCGTACACACAGCTCTTTAAGGGTTAATAAAATTTGATTTGATATATTTTTTAGCTATCTTTTAAATAAAAAGAAAATATCATCATTTTTATTGACACGGCCAAAGTAGAAAAGAAATCTAAAAATATAAAATAAATAAACCTAACGACACGGAAGTGGAAAAGATTGGGAACGCGTTAGACTTTCTTTCCTGCATTAAGTGCAGTTAGTTCTCGTTCGGTCGAACGTCGCGGATGGGGCGATTCGAAGTATCTCGAGGAAAGACTCATTTGCAGCACCTGTTACTACGGACTGCTGAGTCAAGTGCGCATAGAAATTGAATACCGTCTGGATTCCCTATCTCTGTCTCTTTCTTTTTCTCATTCTCATTCTCTTTTTTCCGATCGGAAGGCAAACGGGAAGCTTTACCTCGAACTTCGTTAAAAATAATGCTCCTACGCTCTAGTTGCCATTCGCGAGGAGCGTTTCGCTTCGATAAATTTTTCTATTTAAATCCTACTCAACCGTACTTCGTCCGAGTTGCATCAAAATTTCGTTTTACGCCATTTATTTATATATTTATCTTAATATATATATATATATATATATATTTTTATATTCAAGTATATAATATGTGTAACTTCGGGACTTCTCTCTTCGAAAAGAAATGTAGGATTTTCGAAAAGAAAGTTCTTCGTAAAATCTTCGGTGCAAAACGCGATGGGGAAACGGGTGAATGAAGAAAACTCCATAACTTTGAAGTACATCGATTGTACAACAAACCGAACATTATCAACGTCGTCAAATCACGCTGATTAAGATGGGCTGGTATTCCAAACGGGAAAAGACCACTGGGTAGACCGAGACGTAGATGGGAGGATAATATTAGATGGGACCTGAAAGAAATAGGATACGAAAACCGCGAATGGAAGAATCGCGCTCAGGGACGGGAACAATGGCGGGATTTGGTATTTGTGGCAATGAACTTTCGACTTCCTAATGCAAGTTAATAATAATAATGTAACTTTYGTTTCTCGTGTATAACGATCGTGAATACCGATAAATGATTTAATAGGTGTATATATAAATAAATAAATAAGTACACGTCAAATATTGGTTTATTTGCTATCGAAGTACCGTGTTATAGAGGAATCACTTGTAAAATCGTATAGTGCATTTTGTAAAATGCACATCAATATTTTAAATTTGTTATAAACATACATTTTCAGTAAATTAAATAAATATGTCAAATGATAAGTGTACCACCGGTGGTACACGTGGCACGGAACGTGTTAATGTATGAACACTTTTAAAAAGCTAAAATTGCACAATCATTACATCTACATAATTGCAATAACACGAGAAGAATTTATCAATTTCTTTTTTAAAAAAAGAACCTTACTTTTTTTCTTGTAATATTTCGAAAGAGTAGGAGGTTTGAGATTGGTCCAACTGGACTGGGACACATGTCCCACGACCAAGAAATTCTACGTACATATATTAAGCTGGAAATGACGTAGAAACGTGTTCAGCATGCTGTTAGAGACATCGGTCACACAACCATGGTATATCACACGCGTACGTAGTAAAGCGCATGCGAACACGCGCATCCTCTTTCCACCAACACTACTACTGGGGGGTGTGGGGGTGTGTGGGGGACGACGACGACGACCTATCTTCCGACACGAGTGATAGGGATGTCCTACGAATGAATCGGTACAACACCTTATGCCGGATGATTCATTACGAAACGACAACCGTCGTCGTCGTCGTAGCCCTTGTCAAGGTTCCGGCATAACTTCTACGCCCCATACGCCATAAACTTTCCTCGATTTAACACGAATATCGACATTTACGTCGATTCCTATCTAAGGATACGAGCAAAATTATCGTCACCAAGTTAGAGATCTAAAGTCATCGACTACTAGTAGTTTCTGTACGAAAACGAAGTAACCCCTCCYCTCCCCTCCCTCTCTCTACCTTCCTTTTGGCAGGGAAAACACATAATTGAAATTCACGGTTCGCTATACAACGGATTAATTAGGTCGAGCCATGAATTAAGACGAGACACACCATGAGGATGGGACGGGGAGTGGAGAGGATAATGATCGATAATACCGATTTTAGTTTTGTTAACGATCAATAGGATTTTATGATTAATAATATAATCTACAAATAATCATATTTAATAATTCGCGAAAGCCGATTTTCAGTGTCTGCGCTGTAGGGCGACGCTCGAATCTATGGTGCGCTTCATCTGGATTTTTGCTTGTTCAAACCTAAACCAAGGTGGACCACCGGTGGTACGCGCCAGCATGAACGGTATTAATTTATACAAAATATGTTTGCAAATAAATTGCATTTATCGTCGTTAAAATAGACAAGGAAATAAAGTTAACAAATGAAATCGATCTAAAGCATAACTATGTGATTGTAATTTTGATAAAATATTCTTTTTCTTCAAAAARAAAAAAATGACTCGACTCGAAAAAAAAAGACAAAAATCTGCAGAGGTGAAATGAAACTACACACACGAGGAAATATGATGACGAAAGGAGAAAAAAGTTATAGGTAGAAGGGAGAAGGGAGAAGGGAGAGTGTGGGGGATCGTCTACCGTGTATAATAAAGTCTAAATGAGAAATGCGAAAAATCTCGAATGCGGATATTAAATTCAGCGTATCGTCAAAGCCAATGGACAGACGTCGCAAGCCGACAATAGATGTGATTACGTAGACACTATACATATACATAGATAGATAGTACTCGTCATTTCTCTTGACACGCGTTTCATTCGCTTACCAGTATACCAGATATCATTCGATATCTGGTACACTCATTTCTGCTTTCTCTCTCTTTCTCTATCTTTCTCTCTTTCTCTTGATCGAACGAATATGGGTGGGTGTTTCATTAGCACTCTTCCAACAGCATACTAATTACGAGGATAGACGTAATAATTATAATAGAGATAGCTGTCGTTGTCGTCGTCGTCGTCGTCGTCGTCGTCGTGTCTATTCGGCATTTTGGTGATGTTATTCGTTTTTTTTTTTTTTTTACCATTGAAAAAAAGAAAAAGAAGAAAAAAGATCTACAAAAATTATTATCAAAATCAAATTATTAATTAAAGTAATGCAAACAAATGTACGTTTAAGTAAAACTGAGATTTGTTTTTTAGTTTCTTCATTCTCCTATTTCTTTTTTTGTTTCTTTCTTTTTGTTCTTTTCAAACACCCTCCCTACCCATTTTCGTTTAAACAAAACTCGTGGGTAAATTTTTTTCATATGTGTCAGATTATCTACGAAATTATTTCAGATATGAAAGAATTTTTGTAAAAATATTTTGTATGCACATTTTTACGTTTTTTTTTTTTAATTTTTTATTCTATGTATTTAAAATAATGAACTTGATTATTTGTAAAATTTTAAACAAAGGGATATTGTAGCTTATAATAAATATTTTTTGTCTTCTTCTTCATCTTCTTTAAGGATTAAGAAGACAACATTCACATCTCATCTTTCATTTTATCCTTAGATTACATTTTTTTTTTCCTTTGGCCATCACTAGCCGTTCTTTTTTCTTAATCTTTTTATCTTCCTCCGTCTTCTTTCTTTTCAGATCATTTTTTTGTCTTTTTTTCTTTTTTTAAGTTTACCTTAGAAGAAAACGCGTTGACAAGGAAGAAACCTCCGAACGAACGACCGACCCTCTTCAAAGTCTCGAAACATAGAGAAACGAGAGAGTAGCATCGAACGTGCAACTTTTTAAAAAAGGATTACGATATAATCTACGTTCTTCTATCTCAGCGTTTTACCCTTTTTCTATTTTTTTTTTTTCTTTTTTTTTACGACGATATCTCTCTAACGCGACCAGTTACACCGCCGGGCGGTCGGTTTACAGTACACCGTTAAACTTGCGTGAGACTTGGTCGTAAAAATAAAAAGAACTTTTCTTAAAGCTTTATGTTTCGTAAAAGGGAATACCTCGAAGGGTGGAAAAGGGGGAAGGGGGATGCCATTGCTAGCAGCCGTTGCTCACTCGACTCGATCTAACGACGTCGATTTTTTTTCTGCCGTGTTTTAATTCTTTCAAAAAAAAAAAAAAAAATCAACAAATAAAAAAACTATTATAATATTATCTTAAATGTTACACACAATTGCTTCAATCAAATTCCATTCTTTCGCGTGAATTTTATTTTATATTTTTTTTTTTTATTTTTAGATTTATTTTCAATTAAACGAAAAGAGAAAGAGAGAAAAAATATGCAAGGTCTATTTTTTTCTTTCTTTCTTTATTTTTCTTTCAGCAAAATTCCTCGTTTAAACGAGTAACGTAGAAAACAGCATCGTTGGTTAGTTGGTTGGTTGGTCGACTGTCATTAAGTCAGAATCGAGTGGCAGGCATGACAGAGCGTTTCTGCTTATCGTTGTCTAGCACGACGAGCTCGAGATACTCGATACACAGCAGCAGCAGCATAAAGCTTGACTGCTAGTAGTAATCCCTGACTCTACTACTACTACTACTACTACTACTAATACTACTAGCTAATAATCAATAATTCTCTCCTTTGTCCTTTAAATTTGATACAACCCCCGATCTAGATTAATTTAATCCATTAATTATATTAAAGTGAAGACAAAAAAGAAAACACAAAAAAATACTATAAATAATTATTACCAATACTTTTGATGAGTGGAGATGCTGATGGTAGAGCTTGCAGGAGATGAGTAGCCCCGAGAAGTGTAAGTACGATGCGATAATACTTCATAGTGATGATCGTCATCATGTGTCATCTAATAATCCATGGAAATCTATAACAGAAAAAAATAACAGTTAATAAATCTATGATAACAAAAAAATAATTATTAATTATTATAACTTATGTGTGAAATAGAAGATGATATGAAACTACACGAAAAGATTTATTTTATTTTGTAATAAATAAATATATTAGATATAAATTTAAATATATATAATTTTATTAAATATATTTAATAAATTATTATATTTTTGATATATAATAGTATATATATACTTCCTATTATATGTACGTAAATATAGTAGGAACTACACAGGATTATATTATATAATATAAATTATATTATTATAATTAATTAAATATATTTAAATATATTCTCTCTCTAAATATAAAATTAGAACACCGACTATTCAAACCCTAAACGAACGTCATCAGCAACACCCTTATCAGGATAGTATAATCCCCTACATTCGTCGAATCCGTATCCGATCCTTACAAGTGCATTGTGTGCTTGTTCGAAGAACATATTCAACAGAAACCTTGAGAAAGTCCTATCTAAAGGAAGGAATGGGAAGGAGGTGGACTTCGAAAACTGCATCTAACTGAGAACTCTTCTCATCGAAGAGTCACGAAAAAAGGGGATCTTCGATTGTCGTTCTATTATCCTAAACGATATCAACCTATGAGCATCTCTCTCTACACATGAATCCTCTTTTTCTTTCTATCATTTTTCCTTTTCTCTTCAACCATTTAGACACTTTTATACGATTTCTTTCTCTCTTCTTTTCTCTTCTCTTCTCTTTCTCAGCACCATTTAGTCTCTTTTTTACGATTTTCCCTCTCATCCCTTTTCTCTTTCTCTTTCGTGTAACTATCTTTACTTCTAACCGCGATAAGCTTCACACGGGAAAGAAACGACATCGAGTTTTTCGCACTAGACCAAATCTATTTTAAATTTTCTCACGTTTATATATATATAGATATAGATATCTTCTCTCATCGCTAACGTTTCGTATTTTCTTTCATTTTCTTTTTTTTTCCCCATCCCTTTGTATTTGCATCGTTAGAAACACGATTTTCGTTTTCCTAACCTAAGAGAGTTGGGTGTAACAACGTAGCATATTAATTGTCGATAAATCAAGCTCGAAGTCTTTCTTATCTGACAGGTAACCGAAGACATCGAGATTACATGAAACGTTTACTAGTTACCTACAAGTTGGTGGCTTCCTTTCTACCTTTCCTCACGAAACACACCATGTCGTTTCCTTTTCACTATTTGTTTCATGCAAATACGTATCCATTTAACTGTTACGTTGATACCAAAACCGCAAAACTTAGCTAACTTTCGTTTTACCATTTACCGAGCTAGGTGTCCGTATAACCTGGAAGAATATTCCTCTTGATTTTCTAGCTAGCTCACTCCATTTCTCTTTCTTCTTGTTCTTTCACTTCGATGCAAATTAACATCCATTACGTAAACGTTACCATATATCATACCACAAACGAGAACTTCTCTTCTACAGTTCGGTTTCTAGATTCTCAGTCGTTAACTCGATTGTAACGAAATATCGACTTCCTCCGTCGACGGAATCGGTAAATCGATTTCATCGGAGAGCATTTTAAGCCAAGAGTGAGAGATAGAGAGAGAGAGAGAGAGAGAGAGAATGAGAGAATGAGATAGGCTAGTACTCGCTAACTAGACTCGCTTCATTGTAATCACCGACGACGCACGAGTTTGCTTTATCGTGATTAATATCACCGTCACCGGCAAGGTAATCCTCCCTCCTATACACCTGATTAACATAGCTACAATCGTGATTCCACGGGTCATAAATTTCGAAGCATGGCGTATAACGATCGAATTGACAGTAGACCTCTGCGTAACCTTCATTCAAACTTCAACCGGTAAATGCAAACTTGTGCACTCGCACGGTGTGTGTGCTGGCACGCTTACGTATAAACATTATCATAACTACACGACTATCCGGAGTAGAAGGTTAGAAGACCCAATTTGGGTTTGCAAAGTCGTTACTAAGCCCTTTCCTGCTCGTACAATTTCAGATAGATAGTACCTAACATCTACCCGCGAACTTTGGGTCTTCGTATCAAGGCGTGAACATCACTTGTACCAAGAAGACAAAGGTTAGAGCTAGATATATAGATAGGAAAGAGAAAGAGAGACAGAGAGATAGGTTAAAGGAGAGAATTGTTCTCTTCCTAGAAGCGCAACTTGACTACGAGACTACTTGCGTTTCCTTCGATCTGCTGTTACTGAAACGAACGCAAGTTCATCTTGAGTGTGCATACGACCGTTTCTAATGAACACTTATTACTCCTACGCATACTACTCTTGTTCCATTTGCAATTAAAGGAATACTTCGGAAGTTCGAGGAAATAAACGATTGAATGATAATGATACGAATGAATGGAGGAGCAGTATTTCTTACGGAAGAGTAAATCTTTTGAAAGAATGAATCGTAAGTCGAATGTCGTTGAATTCAATGAGGCGAATCATATAAAGAAAAAAAAAAAAGAAATATTACATATTACTCTAAAGAAAAGAAAAAAAACAACCGATCGATCGAATTCGATCGTTTAATTCATTCAATCCGATAGTCTTTTTCTCGCCGTACAAATAAAAATAATAGTCTATCTGACTGCTTCTTTTTTGAAGAATATTCTTCTTAACATATATGAATACCACCACAACACTACCTATATCTATCTCTATGTACACAGGGCTGGATTGGGGATGGGGAAAGGAACAAAAAAACTATGAGGCAGCAGGAATAAAACACGAAAGAAAACATAATGCTTGGTCTGCTAGAGAAACTAACGTGTGTAGTATACTCAGCCAGAGACATAGGCATAAACGTAGAAAATATGTACGTAGGTAGGGTAACGTACGTCGTAGGTAGGATGCGAGCAGTCACCGCACGTGTGCACGCGCCGTGTGCCACTAGAAAATCGAGCAACCGTGAATGGGAATGACTGGGTTCTTTGAGGCATACATTTTTGTAAAATATTCATGTATACCGACGGTGGGACTATGACTATTCCTCTGCTACTGCTGCTACTGCTGCTACTGCTACTGCTACTGCTAAAGGTTAGAGAGGGTTGGAGGAAATAGTAGAGAAAGATAGAAATAGTATATACGTATAAACGAGACAGAAACCGTAACCACCCTTGTATTACCGCCTTTCAGGTAGCGAGCAGCAAAAGTCAGAATTGGTTCTGGAACAAGGATCGAGACTACTACTAGTAACAGACGTCTCTTTTCCTATATAACAGTCACGTTAAATTTCGTTGCTCATATATATATACTAGGGTGCCCCGGCCACGCGTTGCTGTGGCTTTTTTTGAGGTGAAAACTTTTTCAAAATCAGATCGATTTAAAAATCGTTAAATGAAAGAACGTAAAACTGATAAAAAAAAGATAATTTATTAAT